CGGGCCGCGGTTGTTTGATGGAGGGGATGTCGGGAAGGCGAAGGGAAATTATATGCCGTTGCTGCAGAGGGAGAGGCAGGAGTCTGTTGAGGTGGTCAATGAGCGGTATAGAGTGAGGAGGGGTATTGATGCTCGCGTTAAAACGTCAGACGATGATGGGGATGAGTAGATTACTGAAGGCGCGAGATAGAATCGGGTTTACTCGTCCGATACGACACCACAGTCGGAATATGTCTGGTCGAGCAAAAGAGAAACTTCATTGGGTATCATGATTTGTTGCTGCATCTTCCAATCTTTGGCCACGGTAATCCATCCTTCAATCCCCCTTCGCCTTTTTTCACCTTAACCCCAATATCCCAAAGTCCACCATCCCCCATTTAATCCCCAGTATTCAACTCCAAATCGATCTGCACGCCATTGCTTATAGCATAATCCTCACACGTCAAATTATCATGAAACGGCCTCTCCCCCTGTCTCTTGAGCATAATCTCATGTACCGGCCTGCCAATCTTCGCCGCCACCATAGCCTTCAGTAGTTTGATAGGGTCGCTGGGCAGACACGGGACTTGTGTTTTCGTTCCCAGACGGTCATTGATAGTGACGAGGATCATGTGCTCAGAAGGTGCCGCAGGAGCGGCTGCGGGTTTCTTCTCTTTGGGTTTGCTGTCGCGGTCGCTGTCTCGTGGTTTGCGGTCGCGAGAGCGGGAACGGCGGCGCCGGTCGCGGCTTGAGTCTCGTCTGCGGTCGCGGGAGTTGTCTCGAGGACGGCGGTTGCGTTCTCTGGAGCCATCGCGTCTGCGGTCGCGATCGCGGTCTGAGTCTCTTGGTCGCCTTTCTCGGTCTCGGTCGTCGCGTCGTCTGTCTGGGTCGCGGCGGTCGCGGTCGCCCTTGTATTTGAGGCCGCTGAAGGTCTTCGGCTTGCGCGGGCCGGGGGACCTTCTAGGGGAGCGCGAACGCGAGCGCTCTGTTTTTGAGGACTCCATAGCTATCGATGTGTGTGAGAGATGAGTGTTGTGTTGGTGGAGAGGGAAGAGCAAGTGCGGGTAAGGCAGCTTCGTGGAAAACGTGAGCTCAGCATTGCGCTTATCGATAAGGAAGCTAGCAAGGAGCGCGTCATCCCGTCCCGCGAGGCTTCCTTTCACCCCCACATCCCGCCGTCTGTACTTGTCCCCGTCTAGCGATGCCTCCTTCGATTCGAACATGATGTTGAAGCTCATTGACCGCTTCAACTCTCCGCCGGCGCAGACACTGCAAGTACTGCAGCCCACATCGTCGACCATCACATACGCGGTCTCGACGCGTTCTGTACCCAAGACCCTTCCCGCGTTGGTCGCATACTATGCAGGGATATTCACAAGAGTCTTGCTGGGTATAACCAGTGTCCTGTTGTTATGGATGAAATGGCGCGTCACACAAGCTCAGTCTCTGGATCTGTCGCTGGGTGTGTTGGGCCATGAGACAGAAAGGCAACTAGTAAAGCTGGCGGAAGCTTGCCAATGGCGATATCTGGTACCCAGTACATTGCTCATACTCTTCTTAGTCTTCCGCCGAAACTATACAGGTACATACTTCGCCGTCTTCTCAGCCTCCCCTAAGCCCAAGCTAATACAGATCATAGAAGAATCACTCACCGTACTCCGGGGCCTCGGTGTCCAGACCTCTACCACCTCCTCCACGTATCTCCAGACACCTACTACGCGCTTCATACCGACTACAAGTATACAGGACGTCTTCATACACGAGGCGTTCAAGGGCTTCGAAGTGAGGTTCTTTCTCATGATCGTAGTGGAAGGGGAGGGAGAGGTGGTCGTGGTCTTCCCGAGGCTCTTGCCGAGAAGGGCGACACTGGAGACTGTTTGGCGGGGCGTCAGGGGTGGGTTATGGGAGGATAGCGTCAGAGCGCCGGCAGAGAAGGCAGGGCCGTGAAGAGAGCGGAAGCTGTAGAAATGCGATGTCATTTTGCGTTTGCAGTGCGCATAACAATGGCCGAATGACCAGGACCTTATACGTCCTACATAACATCTGACGAGAAGTCTAAGTAAGCCTTCTCAGAGATATCGTGATAATGAAGTCGTACCTTCAAATTCGCTGCGTTACGACTTCCTACACACGGCTCCTCCATGTCTCCTGAACTCGGAGCAGGAACCGCGCCCAATCTCTTCCATACTGGTATCAATCTCCTACTGGTGTCCAAATCCCAAATACGCCATGAATCCAACCTGGTGCCCCCATCGTGAGCTTCCCCTCAATATCTGTACCTCGTAGAATAATCCTTCGGACTAACCACCAAACCCCGCCCCTTCTTCGCGCCCCGATAAACCGTCTCAATAATATCAATAAACTCCTGCTTATCCTCCAACACCCAATTCAGCTTGTTATTATTTCCTGTCCCGAAATCGCACATCATGTGTTTATTGCGGAAGAAGAACATGACGGTACATGGGTCGTAGAGCTCGTACATGGCTTTGAAATCGGGGACTTCGTCGAGGTCGCAGAGGTAGATGGCGCAGAAGTTCTTGACTCGGTCGGCGATCTTGTAGAGGACTTCGTCTTGTTGCATGCAGTCTGGGTCCGAGTCGCGCCCGAAGCGGATGAGGACGAGGCGGTCTTCTTCGCTGAGGATCGCTTGGTCGACGTGCCAGCCTGTACGGAGGTGGGGGAGGACTACGGAGCCCATGGTGGGTGGATGTGCGTGTGGAGCTGAACTTGGAGTTGGACGTGTGCGACCGTAGAAGATGGGTGGCCGAGCTGGTCGACGGCGAAGGCGGGCACGTTAGACTGGCTACGGTGAGTCGATATGTGCTTTGCGCGATCGTGCGACAAGAACGTGTAGCGCGTTGGGACGTTCGTATAATTATGTTTGCGCGATTCTTCAAGGTATGGGAGGGTTGAAAGAAAGTTAGTCGCGCCAGGCAGCTGCCGCCCGTGATCTAGAAAGTTCCCGAGGTCGCCCCACTGGACTTCGACCTTAACACATTGATACCTCTTACAATCCTTTCACTTTTTCCTGCGTGTAACACTTGACACATAAGGCGCGGTAGACTCCCTTCGTTCCGATAAACGTACACAGCACCTGGCAGCGGAATTCGGCCTGTGTGGTGCTCGATTGACTCCATAGACTCACCTCCCGGGCATGCAAACACTCTGCCTTGCCACTTGGGCAGACGTCGACGACAGCTGTACTGGCCTATAGCGCCATCAGGTTTCCGGCATACTTTACTTGACCAGTACCACGGAGCACGTCCATAAAGCGTCTGGGTTCTTGTCAAAGGCCCTACATCTGTCCTCCTGTCCTTGGCTGTATTTGCTTTTGTTGCAGCCTTCTCAAGTCTGTGTAACGTTCGTTTGCACTTTGCAGCTGACCGCCTCTCCTATAAAATTGATTTAATCCACATCTGCTGCTACCATGCGGGCACGTCGGCTGATGTACCAGCCGCCTGGGTGATGGCAAGAGGTGTAGTATTAACAAGCTGCAGACTGCCCGCTCGAGTCCCCCGGGAATCAATCGCATGTCCGTTGTGTGTGGGTACACTTTCGTAAGAACAGACTAGTAGAGGGGCCTAGTCCAGTCACAGGTAACTTACTCGAGTGCCCTGGGATGGGTGTGGGCAAAAGGTGTGCGGGACGGGGCGCGGGGGATCGGGAGTACCCATGGACTTGGCCGGTAGGATTCCGCTTTGATGCAGCACCAGGCATCCTCTCTACGCGTTTGTTGCAGCTTTATTAAAGTATGGGAACTTGCGAATCATTGAGTACAACATTTACAGACTCTATGCTACGGAAACATTCAAGCTGTTCTCGGGAAAGTCTACCACTGTCACACGCCGCTATCTCACATCGATCGGGAAGGTCTGAGTCGGACCCAAATGCTATTTTTGGGATGGATTCGGGTGTTGCCGTAGGTCTATTTGTGCATGTGGGTGCTAATATACGTGTAGGCATTGTTAGGGTGATGCTGCAGTGCACCTATTGCATTAGCGAACAGCTAGAGTGAAGTATTATCGGTCTACTTTATCAGCGCACATTATGAGGACGTCGCCTTAACAGACACGGAGAAAGAAACTGGTTCGAGTAAAGCCGATTAGGGGGGTTCTTCCTGCGAAAATCTGTTTATAGAGTACAACCTTCGTTATGCCTGAGTAAACCTGCTGCGTCGTCGCATTGAACGACACACACCACGTTGATTGTTACGGTACTGCGAGTCGGACCGATATTATATTCAGCACCTGCCTATGCATACTACAGAAGAGAACTCTGTTATCTAACCGGCTAGTGGGTGTGCCACCTGTCTGATGTGCTAAGAGTAAATCCGTGACAATAGTCTGAAGGTAGGAGCACTTCTTCATGCTTGTTATATGGACGGAAACTCTGGCTTAGCAGATTTTATCCGCCTATTCCGTTGTTTATGTACTTGATGTATCTTTTAGATGATGGTGATGGGCGTCTGCTTGATTGTCTCGCTACGGCAAAACTTGACTGCTCTAATCCGCACTGGGTTGATGTCCTGCACCGCTTCCCCTTACCCCGTTTACGAGTATCGTACGATATAACTAGGCCTTACTAGAAATAGATTAGGACAATTGAGATGGTGTCGAGCAACACTAGTTGGTGGCAAAGAGAAGCATCTGCATGTGCAGACTAGACACCAACCAAAGACGTTATTAGCAGTCCATCACATAGGGCTCAGAATACTATAGATGACTTAGCTAAGTAGGTCCGGTAAGTTCTATCATAGGCCCAAATCTTTCTTTGTTTTTTAGGCATCCGGCTCCAAGGGATACATCTGGTAGCCGAGAAATCTCAAGCTGTGCTGCAGCCAAGATTATTAATCCCTTTCTGCAGAAAGTATAAGACGAAGGGATTTGCTTTTGCTGCTCTGGAAGTCTACATAAGACCTCCAGTGCTCACTGAAAGCTTCAATACCATCAGCATCGCACCTTCCTCATCACAATCAGACTAACACTCTTCTCGACCATTCATCATTTCTCAAACATATCACAATGTCCGACTACACCGGCCCCGGATTGTACGAAATCCTGCCCAGATATGCTCCGGAGATGAGCTTGAACGTCTGGGGCGCAGCAACGACAGCCGGCACGCAAGTGAAGCTATAGTAAGTTACTCGAGCAGTCAGAGAGAGCATGTTGACTAACTTCATCCAGCCAGAGAACCAAAAGCGCCGACAACACTCATTTTGAGATCGTAGCAGCAGGAGGCACGGATGCCAAGCCCGAAAAAGGCGATCGTGAATACCACATCATCGCCGCCTGCTCTGGCCTCTATCTGACTTCGGCCGGTAATTCGAAACCAGACTGACATGTATGTTCTCCTCACATGGCTAACCTATCTAGGGCCAAAAGCTGGTTACATCAAGACGGAGCTTCGCAAGCCGCTCGACAGCACCATCCGCTGGAAGATCGTGCACTGCGGAAACGGTTCTTACCGGTAAGTGGCTCCGTACAGCCCCACTTGGCCTTGAGTTCGCTTTCTGACGCGCGTGTGCATGTGTTAGTATCAACAATGTCGATGGGAAGACGCAGCTCAATGTCGCTGGTGGTGGCAAGACCAGCGGCACCGACATGATTGGTTGGCAATTTTCTGACGGCTCTGAGAACACGGAGTTCCGTCTCATGGCTGTTTAAGTGATACGGGGGAGACTCGAGTTTATTGTCTTGTGTTGAACAGGATTGTAGAATCTGTCGCTCACTTACAAAGTCCATTCAATCAACAGGCTGATATGCTTCCGAATGATTGTGATGGGTGATGAGGCTTGTGCTTTCAGTGAGACGACGCTAACAGCTCACTCATCAGTCCCTTATTACCTCTGCCTAGGTTAGTATCGATGCATGTTAGAAGTATGTCTTGGCCACTGCGCACTTGTTGACAGCTGACTTCATGTGAGGTTCAGCAACTTTCACGGTCTCTTCCTCATATCAGACAAACGTTGCTTTCCTTGGTTGTTACATGTAAAATATATCGATACACTAGACTATTTTCCCATGGAAGGGACTACAAAGTGTACCTGTAGAAAGGACTCTTGTCACCCATGAGCAACAACTCCTGCTCGGAGTATCTCGCGCGAATAGCCTCCTCTCCGTGCTCAGCAATCAGCTCATCCCTCTTACGGTTCTCCTTTGCATACGCCCACCTCAATACCAAAGTCATGAGGATCGCGGTGCAGCACATGGCCAAACTAGCCGAGAAACCTGTCGTGTACTTTGGTGCTTCGCGTGCCAGATACACGTTGCTGCCCATGATTCCACCCATGTTTCCAACGGAGATAAGCAGAGCCATGCCAACAGCGCGTTTTGACGATGGGGCGAGAGAGTTGCCGATCCAGGAGACGAGACATGTGAAGGGGCAGTAGAGACCACCGGCAACGGGGAAGAGGAAACCGTAGGTGATGCCAGGGTATTTGGGCTTGGGGATAGCAAGCTGAGCGATGAAGCCGCACACAGCGATCGAGTAGCCTGCAATGATGTATGGGGAGCGCTTGCGCGTCAGATCGGAGGCCCACGCAAAGATGAGGGTAAGAATAGCGGCGAATACGTAGATGGGGATCGTGAGGAGCTGAGCGTTGGCACTGGTATATCCGAGTCCTTGAATAACAGAGGGCACGGTCGCGGTGAATCTGTATGAAACTGTTAGAGATGAAACCGCAGCAAAGCTGGATATCTTCAGCTTACCCATAAACACCAACAGTGTTTCCCCAGAAAATGACCGTAGCAGCCCAGATCTTCCAGTCGGAAAGACCAGCAAGAATCTGTTCTTTTCCGATCTTGTCGCTGTTGGTGGCTTGTCCCTGGCCAGACCCGGAGTCGTTGGCCAATCGGGAAACAAGCAAGTCGCGCTCCGGTTGTGTCAGAAACTTCGCGGTCTCTGGACTATCGGGGAGAATCTTCCAGATGATGAGCGCGAGCGCTACTGGAATCAATCCCTCTATGAGAAAGATCCATTGCCATCCTGCGAGTCCAGAGCGTCCATCAAGTTGTTCGATACCGTAGGCGAGGAGACCACTGAAAGCACCAGCGAGGGAGGCGGCTACGTAGAAGACAGCCATGCGGCGCTGAAGTTCGAAACGACGGTACCAGAGAGTAAGCAAGAATGTTGCTGCTGGAAAGAAGCCAGACTGCGAATGTAAGCAAGTGTTCTCCATCTTGAACCAAGATGCTGGGGACCTACCTCTGTTACACCCAAGAAGAATCTTCCAGCGAGCAGACCACCATAACTGGACGTGAGTCCCATCAATGTCATGACGAGACCCCAGCAGAACATGAGGATCGCCATCCAATGACTTGGTCGCATCATCTTGAGCACGATGTTGCTGGGTACTTCGAGAATTGTGTACGGAACGAAGAATAGAGTAACGGCAGTGTTGTACTGAATACCGTTCATCTTGAGGTCATCCGTCATACCAGCAATCTTCGCGTTACCGACTACAGCACGTTAGCAATTCGTTCCAATGCATCTCTCAGAAATGAATATGTCCAAACGTACTGTTACTCCGATCGATAAACGCAACAAGATAGAGGAGCGAAAGCATAGGGACAAGTCTCATGTCAACTTTCCTCAAAACGCGCGCTGCCTCCTTCTCCTCCAGTTCGACATTTTGCGCTTCAAGCTCGCCAGTTCCGGAGGAGTTTGAGATCTTCTCCGCCACATTCTCAGCCCGCTGGTGCTCAGTAGAGAGCTTGCCGTGATCGAACGTTGTCGCCATCGTGTGAATATTGCACCGCGTCTGCTTCAATGCAAAGGCGGGTGAGGAGGCTGGCAGGGCAATGCACGAATGCTTCCCCATGGGCAACCCCTACCCTTTAAAGCATCTCGGTAGAATGCAAAGCCCGACATCATCCATCTCAACGGCATACCTTCTTCGGCAGCGTTACCCACTTACATGCATGCCTTGCCTCCCGTCAGCGCAATCGAGCCTCTTGTGTGGAGGCGGGTAGAAAGCATCTTGGCTTCTGGGGTAGCAAGCGGCGCTTTTGCGGGGTAGTCTGGAGGGATCATCATGCGCGGCGTCGGCACGTGCTGCACGATCTGCATGTCGCTGTGACGTATGGTTCGACCATCTGTCAAACGGCACCGCGTTTACTGGAGATGTGCAGGGGCGCATTTGCCGATCTCAGAAGCCGCGGTGTCGGTGTGGCCTGGTTGAAGGGCCGGTGGTGGTTTTCGATGCGAGGTGCGTGCTGGGCGGTTGTCGGATGGGTGCCGTCGGCGATAGACCGAGGAAAAAGAAAGTCCGGTCGGTGGCAGCACCGCTTGCAATGGGCTTCTTGAGCTTACACTTGATGACAGCATCGCCTTGCTACGAAGACGTACGTCTTCTCATGTCTCTTTTGAGACCATATGAGTTAGGTTCGCGATGACTGTCTAACGTTTGGTGCCAGCCTTGGTGGTGCTGTTCTTATCAGAAGAGCCGTGGATGAATATAGGAAGTCTCGCCGAGGACGTGTTACCCGTAAACCTTCACAGCACAGACACCATTCCCCAGCCTCGCTCCACAGTTGCCGTCACTTTTGCTCTTCGACTAGGGAATACAACTCTATTGTGGTCTCCGACGATGAAATATCGTACGAAGTTTCGCGCCCAGTATTGAACCTCAAAATGTTGTATCCATTACAATGACCATGGTATATAATCCCGAGGTCTTGCAGACAAACTCCTATCCTGGCTATTGGCCATTCCCGAAATCGCCTAAACGCCGTCTAATGCTCCCAAATCTCCTTCTCCCATGTCCAACAGCTCTCAAATCGAGCTAGGATACATCATAACCCGAAGACTCGCACCAAATGACTTTGGCGGGAGGTTGTTCTGGAAAGATGCGCGAACAACACCAGAGTTGCCTGTTCTTGAATCAATATCTTTTCTTTCGCAAGTCTGACAAGCTGTACGAACCATGTGTCCTGCGGATCTTGCCCCAGATCACACGAGGACCTTCTTCTTTGCTGCTGGCAACGCGGTAGACATATGCGACGCGCTTGCCGAGATACCACTGCGCGTCTTGCGTGCTGTCGACGCCTTCAAGCGCGAGGAGGCTCACGTTGGGGTTTGTGTTGCGTTTGCCGCGCTGGTAGCTGACATGGCGGGCTTTGACGTATACTGCACAAACTATTACTACCTGCACAGCGGCGTGAAACTGCTGCTACTTACGACGGTGGCTCTTTTCTGAAGACATCGCGATTTTTACAATTGTTTGTTTATTGTCAGAATGTGAGTTTTGGTCGATTGGTGTGCGCTCGGTAGACTGCTTACCTAACATATATGGGTCTTCGACGTTCAGACGGCGTGTGGTGATAATGTAGGCACCTACTGCCGCGATCGACGGCTGTCGGTTAGTTGCCTAATCCGGACTATCATCACGGACAGAGCGCAGCAACATCTAACCTCCCCGCTGAGTTCAGACTACGGCAACAACAAACATACCCACTTTCACAGCTTTAATATCGATCTGAGATCGTGAATAACTTAAGTACTTTCGACTCCTTCCTGCCGCCTGTTATCAGCTCAAGTCATCACATCTTCCTCGCTTCATCACTTCACGGGTGACAATATTCTGGGATGTACGTTTCTCAGTCGATATTAAAGCTATTCAAACAAGCAACTATTGGAACAAGAAACCAACGCAACTACTAGGCGAAAACGTGCGCCTAGTGTTCGACCATACAGCGGCCGAGGGGTATACAGCTTTCGTCAATCATCCGTGTTTATGCCCCTGGAGAACGCCAACAAGAAATGCATCTTCCAACCCACGAGAGGTCATATACTTGCGAAAACCAACGCACAGCTATGCAAACACGAGAAAAAGCAATACAATGAAGAAGAATGCCCACAGGCAAGGAGTTTGATTCCGGCCGATCAATTTCGATTCGTGTGAAAGTGAGGAACGCCGAAACAATGCAATATAAACAATTTTTTACGAGGAGGTAGGGCTGGGCTCCTCCTCATCTGACTCGTAGGTGAGGGTGGGCGCTTGCCATTCGACATTGAACTTCTGCTGATACTCGTGACTGTTGATGATCTCTTCGAATTCAGCTTGACATTCGTCATCAAGTTCGATAATCTCCGCTCCTGGCATGTCGTCGAACATGGACGATGCGGCAGTTGCCATTTGTGCAGGAGTTGCGGCAAGAAGTGACACGTTGCCAGCTTCCGATAGAATGCTTGGTGATGGGTAGGTGGCCTCGCGGAGACGGGAAGGCTTGGCAGGTGTGTGCTTCATGAGTCTCTGGCGCTGGCGCTCGATCTCATCTCCAGGCTGCTGGCGGGTAGGGGTTGGGGGCGCTTCGGGCACATCAGACGCTTCATCCGTAGATCCGCCTGGCAGGGGAGCATGCGCAGGAACGGGGGCTGGTGGGGGTGGTTGGGTCCAGATAGGAGTAGCTTCAGCGTCAGCGCTCTCGCTGCCCATTGTGGAGTCTTCTTCATCGGAATCATCATCGGGGACGCTGAAAGAGCCCATGCCTGGGTTATGGGAGTGGGTGTTCTCCATGGTTGCGCTTTTCAGGACCTCACGATCGTTCTCACGGATCTGTGCCGCGGTGTCGTGTCCTTGTAGTTCGCTAAAGATGTTACCGCCGGTGTTGTGTGAGATGGAGTTGCTGAACATGGGTGATGGGTCGATTGAGCGACGAGGGTGGAAGTCACGGAGTGAAGCGGACTGGCCATGGCTGTTGTAGAGCTTTGGTGAAGTGCGCGCGCCGTTGCTGGCGGCGAACTGCTCGTCGATGGTAGGAACTTCGTCGTCGCCAGTGGTGAATTCGCGAGTCTTCTTGTGCTTCTTAGCGGTGTGCTCTTCTTCTTCAGCCACGATATCGAGATAGACAGCCCAGACTGGTACAACATCGTCATCGTCCAGATCACCAAGCGGGTCGCCGAAGCCAGTCTCCCAAGGCTTAGCTGAGGGGAAATTCGACAGCTCCTTGCACAGAACATCCTTCTGGAGACGCGCACGCTTCTCGCTGAAAGCAGGATCGTTCTTCAATTCAGGAATGACCTGCTTGGCCCACTCCTCTGCCTTGTGCCTGTCCTTGCGGTCGACGCCCTTGAGCAGTAGTTTCAGCAGTGTGTTCATGGGCGCACGCCTCTTGTTCGGCGTCTTGACGCGCTCGCCAACAGGTGTAGGAGGGAGGGAGAGGGTCTCGGTGATTGTGTTTTGGGGTGGTAGAGGCTTCGTCACGGTGGGCGACGCCACTTCGGGGGTTGGCGGGGGCTTGGGGGTCGAGGAGAAAAGTCGGGATTTGATAGCAGAGAATGACCTGCTGAAGATGTTGGATGGTGTTGCGACGGGGCGGTTGGGCGTTGCTGTGACATCCTCGAAGGTTCTCTTAGCAGACGGCTGTTGTGGTGAAGGTTCCATGGCGACGTCATTGTCTGAGAATGTTTCACTGTCATTGCTTGAGGGCTCAACGCGCCTGGTTTCTTTGGCAGAGCTCTCGATCTTGTGGAGGAGTGCAAGGGCTTCCTCGTTGCCATTCACAAACACACCATGTGCCGGAGATGACTCGCTGATTGCTACTAGTTCACTGTCGAATTCTGCGTAACTGACGTTAGCCGGAGTACCGTAGCTAATGTGTGGAATATTCTCTAGTCGCGTGATTTCCATGCGCAGACGCAGGTTCTCGTTCTCATAGAGGAACATCTGCTGATCTTTCTGCCACATCATCTCCACGAGATTCTGGATGCGAGCCTCCTGGTTTGTGACACGCTCGCGGAGATGATCAATCTCCCTCTCTTGGTGTTCGTACTTCTCCTTGCGGAGCTCGTTGTCGATTTCTTCCTCTGAAGGGGTGTAACTATGGGGAAGATGGTGCTTACTTTTTGTGAAGAAGGCGCCCATGCCATCTTCAATCTCGGCTTCGGCCTCGTCTTCGGCGCTCTCGATGGCCTTGGCCGCCGCCAGCTTTGCGGCCACTGCCTTTCGTTTCTCACTGGTGACTTTTTGGCGGGCTGTGCCGCGTCCTTGTTTGGCGGGCTTCGTCTGTTCCAGGCTGCGCTGCGGCGAAGCCTCCACGCCTGCCTCTTTCAGCGCCTGGCGACCGGCTCTGGTGAGCTTCTTGGCGACAACAGGCGCTTGCGTCGCGGTCTTGGTTGTTGATGATGTGGTGGTTGTTGTGGTGACGGCGGAAGCGGCGTTTGCGCGTGACGTAGCGCGACCCTTGGTGACTGTCTGCTGCGACTCTGTCACGGTCTGCGACTCGACTTTGGCGGCGGCAGCCTTGGGCTTGCGGCCGGGCTTCTTCTTGGGGGCAGTCTCTGGCGCAGGCGACGCCGACTGTGAGCTTTGCCTGGAGGCGGGCTGCGAGGACTCGGTGGCCGCTGTCGCTGCAGTGCGACGCGTTGAGCGCCGTGTAGTAGCTGACATGGTACTGCGAGCGCGGTCAGTAGGAGCGGTGCGCAACAGCAGTGGGGACGTACGAGGCAGTTGCGATGCAATTGCCAGTAAGCAGTGAATGATCTGATGACAGATGCAGCTGCGAAGGTGTGTTGGGATGGTTGCGTTGTCGGGGTGCGTTGGCAAGGGAAGTTGCGATGGAGTTAAGAAAGTTGTACATGCACCTCCGGCCATTGGGGCTAGCGCGTAAACACCCCAGCACCATCGAGGCAGGCGCGACACGGGCCACGCCTTGGCATGACGACCAAGCTGGAGCTCTTTGCCTGCGACGGTTGACAGCAGCCAGCATCAGCATCATGGAGGGCCTTTACTACAACGTCAAATACGGGTATGATACACGCGTCAGTCGTCGCTCCATTCATATCTGACATCTCTCTGCAGTTACATCGAGGGCATCGTGCGCGGTTACCGCAATGCACTGCTCACCAGCCAGAACTACAGCAACTTGACCCAGTGCGAAACCATCGACGGTACATCGCATCCCGTCGCTACTGCCTCTGGAACCGCTCTAACAATGCTACAGATGTCAAGCTGCAGCTCTCGCCCGCGTACGGTGACTTCCTCAACAACTTGCCCCCGAACCCGTCCACGTCTGCGCTCGCCGCGAAGACCACCGACAAGCTCGTGGCCGAGTTCCGCTATCTCCAGGCCAACGCCACCGGCTCGCTCTCCAAGTTCATGGAATACCTGACGTACGGATACATGATCGACAATGTCGCGCTGCTGATTACGGGTACCCTGCACGAGAGAGATACGCGCGAGTTGCTGGAAAGGTGTCACCCGCTCGGCTGGTTCGAGACCATGCCGGTGCTGTGCGTGGCGACCAACATCGAAGAACTATACAACTCCGTCCTGATTGAGACGCCGCTCGCGCCCTACTTCAAGGGCTCGCTCAGCCATCAGGATCTCGACGAACTCAACATTGAGATTATCCGCAACACCCTGTACAAGAACTACCTCGAGGACTTCCACCAGTGGATCAACTCTTGCCCAGACATTGCCGGAACACCGACTGCAGATGTCATGTCGGAAGTCTTGGAGTTCGAGGCAGACCGCAGGAGCATCAACATTTCCCTCAACTCGTTCGGTACCGAGCTGTCCAAGGCAGACAGGAAGAAGCTTTACCCAGGCTTCGGCAAGCTGTACCCAGAGGGAACCACAATGCTCTCGAGAGCGGACGACGTAGAAGGTGTGCGAATCGCTGTTGAGAGTGTTGCCGACTACAAAATGTTCTTTGACCAGACCGGCCTCAGTGGAGGTGGCGGTGGTGTGGGCAACATGGCCGGTGGTGTCGGTGGTGAGACGAGGAGTCTCGAGGATCTCTTTTATCAGAAAGAAATGGAGATCTCGAAGCTTGCATTCACTCACCAGTTCACTCACGCCATTGTGTACGCATGGGTGAAGCTACGCGAGCAGGTACGTTGTGGATTCCATCTTGAAGAAAACGTGATGACTGACATGACACGCAGGAAATCCGGAACATCACATGGATAGCCGAGTGTATCGCGCAGAACCAAAAGGAGCGCATTGGTAACTACATCAGCGTCTTCTGAGTGCGCGCATCATTGTAGTAATAGCATGTTTGGGTCCAACTACGGAATGGCTTGGGTGGCGTTAGGGTGCGATTCGTATATCCAACTTTGTTAGATTGTACATCTCTGCATGTGTGTTCTCCGTCTCCGTCTTCATCTCCTGTCTGGTGTCAATACGTCTGGCCATGCTTTAGACGTCTCAATCCCGCCTCTGGCTGTTACCACTACGATTGCCCATGTGCAGTGACTCGTCACCGTATGCAAATATTCAGAAGCAAGGGAAGGGTGATTCCGCTGTGTCGACAGTGGCCTCGGAGCACGAAAGGAATGGGAAGAGTGTTAGGAGTTCGGGATCAGGATCAGAGTGAGGTCGGAGGCTGGTCTCTATACCTGGGTCTTGGCACGTCATCGTGGGAAGGAGCACCGCACCTTCTCAGCGCGACAGAATCTGCCGGGCGTGAATCGGACGAACATCATATTTGGCCTTGCCGGTGCTGAATCCGCACCTGCCATTTAAGCGCCCTTCAACGCCCTCGGACGCATAACCTTCGATTTCCAACTACTGCTTCCTTATTGTACCCCGGACCATCTAATTCCCACCGCTCACACACTGGCTTTACATCATCACACTGTCGCCCTTGGCACCTCCTCACTCTCTACCGCACCTGCCCAGCAACGATGATAGCCGAATCACGCCCGGCACTCGAGCTCGCCGAACGACTGCATAACGAGACCAAGGAATTCACTCACCCAACAACGGCCACAGTTGTCCACGAGAGTAAGGACATCGAGGGAATATGTGCAGCCGTCTCGCATATCCTCGAGACTCCCATCATCCTGACCCAAATTGACGTCAACGCCATGAAAGCGAGCCTTGGTATGTCAAATGTATGCTTGAAGTGTGTGCACTAACGGCTGGAGCAGACTCAGATAGGACTGTCTTGACCAGTACGACCAGTTGTCTCGACAGAGCGCGAGCTTCACTGGAAAGCATGACCACTGCAATCAAATCCAAGTGGGCGGTGGCCGCTGCTAGTGACACAGGCTTGCCCACGGTACAACCACATCAAGTCGAGGAGCCTGGTGACGAGCAAACTGGAACGGAGGGACAACAGGTATGTCGCCAGGCATTGTTTCGCTTGCAAAAGTAACATCTTGTAGGTCACAGTCAAGAATTCTGCCGCTGCGTCGACGCTGTCCAGAGCCGGTGTTTTTCGCCCGTGGAGTACGTTCGCGATAGTTTTTGTTTTCTTCATTTCAAATCTCATCTTCAGTCGCATACGAGAAATGATGAAGGATGCGTAGCGGAGACTTATTACTGATGATGGTCAGTCTTTAGTGTCGTTGTGAGAGCCTGAGTTGAGTCTTGCAGCATATAGTATATAATCGGAGCGATAAAATCTTCAAACCAGATCTACGCAGAAGGCACAATGATACAATAAGTTTAAGATGACTAAAGAAGAAATGCTGCCTGTTTCTCTAGCTTCTGCTATGTCACTCTGGCAGTTCTGACATCAGATTTTCGTAACCTCGTGCCGGCTCGAGCTGTCTATCTCCAAACCACAAAAGGCTCAAGCAGTCTACACAAACGCTTTAACAAGTAAGCAGCCTATATAACGCACATCCTCGGCATGAATCAGTCTTTGATCTTCTATAGGGAACCACACAGTCAAATTATCACATATCATGTTGGGCTTGTTGCGCTCAGCACTCAAACGTCACTGTTAAGTCAGTCATGCTATCAATCAATTGCTGTCTTGATAGTTCGTTCATTGCGTGAAATCCGTTGATCACGCTGTACACGGTTTGTTTATAGGTCGCAAACGAACCTTCACATATAACTGTGTCGCACTACAAGCCAGCACCCTCACAGTATTTGATCATCAACATCAAGATGTCCACACTAGAACGCGACCCAACCTGGACCACCACGGAATTAGAAACGTTTTATGATGCCTTGCTCGACATCCAAAAAGCCCGGAAGGATCTCCATGATGGTAAAGAGGCTCTCTGCGAGCATTACAGGAAGGATCGCGATAGACTGTTCAGTGAATCCATGGCATTCCTGGCCCGTATAGTAGAACATTCGCGAAAGCTTCTTGAGGAGATCGAGAGAATGAGAACCATCATTCTGGGAGACGATCCACCTACCCAAGGGGATGTTCCAGTTGGTCACGAGGACGGTCAAGGCACTACTTAGATGGAAGCGAGACAGGCGGAACGACGATGCGTGTGGCAACATGCAAGCAGCATGCAAGCAGCCGCGACGTATCTACAGTAAGAGGTTCAATGAGGCATAGTCTTACGATAGCAGATAGTCCTAGCCCATCTCAGCCATCCTCTTCCCAATGCAAAACCCCAGTCACCAAATGAGGCCCGCAACCACCTTTGCCGAAGTGCAGCCATAGTCGAAGTTTAGATACGAGCTTGTTAAAGGAGGTGTAGCGACAGTTTACTGCAGGGAGAAATTACGGTGTGTGGTGGTGACCCCAAAAAGTAAACTGGCGTGAAGCCTCGCAGAATGTAAGAAGCAAATCCATAGTCTCTCACGCAAGGTTATTCGATCGACGTGTTCGCTTACGGAGCTAGCTCGTTCGAGAGACACCGGCTCGCTTTGGGGTAAATGGTGTTGGAGGGTCTGCTGGAGTAGGTGTGGACCCTAAGTGACCGAAAAGGAAAGAAAGGGCGAGTGTGCATGTGCGTCATGGCGCTAAGAGGTTGATCATATCTGTGCAGTCACCACGGTGCATGCACTTTGCTCATCCTCATTCAGACTGCTGCAACGCGTGTTCACCACTTGCGCAATACAGACGTGACTGGATTCGCGTTAGTATTCCTTAGGTCTTTGTAGATCTCGTTGACTACGTGCGTAACTGCAGAGTCCGGATTCACACCTTCGTTTACCTTTCTCGCATGCAGAAACATCCTTTTTCATTCCTCGAAGCGAAGTCGGCATGACGAGTACCCTCCATCATTTGGCGGATACATTTTCTCCGATGAAAAAATAATCAGGGTGGGTGAGGAAAGACGCTGTGGCACTGGTACTGCCGAACCAAAATACTGAGCCACCCTCAATTACCGCTTTACAAAACGAACGTCAAACGGCCAGCTAAGATCCAGACCTAACCGATGGTACCAGCCATCGTGTCGCCGGTATACGGGAACATGCCGGTGTTGAGCGAGGTAGGCGTGTTGAGAACTTCAAAGGCCAGCTTCGCTTCTAGCAGACTGCACGGCTCGCTCACGTAGCCTTCGTCACGCTCATATGTACGCTCGCATATATGTCTGATAGCCTCAGCACATAATTATCACACTCGTCTGTGTGCCATGGTTCTTCGAATCAAAACCCTCACGATGTCCAGCTCTCGTGCACTTGTCTTCGCATCGCGAGCCATGTGCCTAAATTCAGCTTCTTTCTCGTTGCTTGTCTGAACAGCAACGTGGAAACAACTCAACATAAACCACGAGCTGAAGAGAACTTAGTGGTAGCGACTCACTCCCACATGTGCTCCAAGCGAGTCACAGTCCAGCTAGGTGTCAAAACACCAAAATCCTAAATATGGGCAACTTCATTCGCTCGCCAAAGCGCACAGTACCATGTGTTCTGGACACCTGCAAAAATAAAGATAGCCAGTGCAAGAGCCTCCTTCAAGCCTAGACCATCGCCTTACCCCGAATTAAACGTTTTACCCTGAATTTACGGATGAGAAAAGAACAAGTACATGGCTTCTAACGGGGAAGCAGGAGGACAGTGCGAGGTAAGTCGTTCGCAGCGAACGTCTCAAAAGCCGAAACAGCTGGACGTCCAGCTTCAGGGTCTTTAACATTTTTTGTTCCGATCAGTACACCAGAATATGCTAAGGCCGAGATCGAGCGAATGTCAAAGCAAAGCCGCGTCAACCTTTCTCGTCAGCAACGAGAGCAAGTATACTTATGAAACAGACGGCTATGCAGACAACACCCAGACCTTAATCACCGGTACCATCGTGGCCTTAGCATAAAGTTCACCCTCAATAACCCTTACCAACAGACCTACCATTCCTCAACCGACGATCCTCAACCCTCGGTACCATGCGTCCTCGACTGGGTCCCCATTCCTCTCCCCAACCCTTGCGCCGATACCACTCCGCGACCTCAAACATGTAGTCCAACATGCCGAGTCTCGCCATGCATCCCTGGTCCCTCATCCCTCGCTTACGTTGTAAAGTCTCCTCGTAACACGCACCACTCTTCACCGTCTTCCATGTACACTAGCTCGTCGGGTACGTGGCCGGGGCTTGAGCATGCGCCACGGCCTAGGAAGGTCACCAGGGCGCGCGTTGAGTATCCCAGAATAGATCGGTTTGGTAGGGTAGACAAGGGGAAAAGGAGGATGGTGTGGGATGAGGGCTGGGTTGGTGGCAGGCCTTTCGGAGTTGAGTCGGTGACGGCGAGGAAGATGGAGGGGCCGCATATGATGAATCATACTAGTCAAGGTAAGAGTTGGAGTCATGACGCTGCGTGAGTAATACCTCTTGGCTGTACTGTGGTATCAGACACTGATATGCGCATAGTGAGAAGAGGCGACGAGGTCGTCCCAATGCTAGCGCACCTACAACCCGAGCGTCTAGTATGGACCCAGATGGACGCGAGCGTGGTGTTCTCAGTACTGCTACTGCTTCTGTCAAGAGCGAACCACAAACACAACCACAACCAAGTCTCTCTTCTGCAGGGGAGCAGATGCAGCGAAAGCACATGATGGAGCTTGAGGAAGAGGAACATCAAGAAAGGAAGAAAGCGAGGATAAAGAAGATCAAGTCAGCGTGTACTCGCGTCATTAGAGGGATTTTGCGTAGGTGAGCGAAATCATATCGCTGCGTCACAGTGTTGGTAGATGTGGCGTGAGGGTTGTCTTCCGGCTAAACGTCAACCTTGCTTGCTCCATAAGCGGGCGTGATCGTGAGAGTCACTCCACATAATACCACCATGACGCCATCTCGCAGACCTCTCGAGAATCAGCAGGACTGCGTAACGATAGAGCTATTCCTCTCCGAAAGGAATGTATAAATTTCCCTTCCATACGACACATCTCTTGTCATCAATACAACGACAGTTTACCGAACACCCATTACATCACCAAAGACACCTCTACCGCTCTCACAAGCAAGACCTGGATAAGATGCAACACCACTTCCACATCCCGCACCCGCACTTACACATGCGCGTACCGCATCTGCATGTGAAACAGCATCTAGATAGGTGGCTGGCAGATGTCGCTGAAGTCTACGGCCGTGCTGCTTGACAAAGAAGCTGAAAATGACGGCAATGACCGAGGCAGGCATGTAACAAGCAAATCACAAAGGTACCTGCGCTCCATCCTAACATCTCGAGATAGCCACGAAATGAGAGCTGAAAGGTCCTGGTTTGAAGTTGAGCGAGAACCCGCGTGTTGAGTTGATGTTCTCAGGATATCCCGGGCAGACAGACACGACAGGCAATCTAGATCTATACCCATGTCAGCTCTAGACTCCATATTTGCAATTGTAACGACCAGCTTCACTTTGACCTTGTTTTGTCTTCTCGCCATGCCTTCTCTCGCGATTTCAAACGCGCGCAGAAGACACCGATCTCAGTGAGGAAAGATGAGGAAGTCACGATCGAACGCATCACATCCAGACCTAACCCACCATCTAGGCCCTCCCTCAAAAGGGCAGTTACTGAAAGGAGAAACCTTGGAAGAGAGAGAGAAGGAAAAAAGGTCCGAAGAAGCTTCCGCATCCAGACTGCCGAAGAAAGGTGGGCGACAAAAGAACAAGTCTCACCGAGACGAGTTGCGATAGGGCGGTGGCTGTCCAGGTGGTTACAGTAGCCATGCGCCACGTCTCTGCTGTGTACTTTTTCGTTCCTTTGTGACCAGGCATCTTCCGGTCGATCCACCCTGCACTGTGACGCCCCATCATCGGGCAGAAAACAACATGCAGCAGGCAGCGGTAGAAGAGCCGAAACATATATAAAGTCGCACAAATCTCCACCTGCGCCCCTCTAAAGGGGCGACGAACGACTGCCCTTTGTAGACTAAAGGTACGACGTCACACATAGATTTGCGCTACGCCGGTGGATCTGGCCGGCGACCAAGCGGGCGGGTAAAATGCACAGGGCTGCTATTCTCATCTCGAACAGATCAGGATAGCGATTCGCGATATTGTAGTATTGAACCGGGGGTGGAATCCTGCCATATCCACTTTCCACTCGTCGGCGATCTACTGTGGAAGAGTCACCACAGTTGGGCCGCGGAGTTGGGTCGATCCGGACGGGGGTGTCGAGTCATTTGACATGGGCAAATCGCGATCTTGAACATGGGAGTTTATGAAGCTTCTCGATAATCGTTCATACGAGGATGTTAGGTCGCCGGCCTGCTGGATTGCGACTGGGGTGCGAAAGGGCGGGAACGTCATTGGACTGGGGTTTGCTGATTTGGAAATGATGCCTGACGGTTCGGCGAGGCTTCGTATAGTGGAGGCCGTGGTGTTCGCACCATATTCCCCAGAAGGCAACTCCAAGATGTGAGGCAGCAGGGTACAGAGCACAGAGGCATCGTGAGGTCATGCCCAGGTGTTGCGAATGCGAATCGGGCAGAATACATCATGACGATGATATTGGGCCGCTGTTGCAGTGCGCAGGCGCGATGGATGCTGCAGAGCGGGTCTATTCAGGAAAGGGAAGGTGTCGTGTGTTTGCACAGCTGTTCTACCAAGGTCCCGAGAGAAGTGAGACGAGCGTTGGTGTTGATGTCTCATAAACGTTGCTGTCATACCTGTCTCTCGCACAAGGCTGCATTAGTCCCGAACGCGAGGTACACAGCCAAATGGGTGCCTGGTTCGCGGGAGGGGAGATCAGATCAGATTGCGTAACTGGACCCAGCGCCCAGGACAAAGGGCTTATTCGTTCGGTCGCGTTCCGGAGCGACGAGCGGCCGTGTATCTACAGCAACTGTCGGCCTCTCAGGTGGGACATGGTGGGCGCCAGCCACAGCGAAGACGTCCTGCGCGCTAGTCAATCTGGGCAGGGGGCATCTCTGGCTAGCTGAGCATGTCGCGGACACCGAAGTCGTGGCGCCTGATTAGAAGATGGTGAACTCAACGTTGGATACCGATGAAAGTCGACATGGTCTATTGCCTGTCTATTGCCTTGAATAGAGGGCTGCGATCCTTTGACGGACAC